TCCTGGTTGTTTGTATTTATTTTTTTTATTATTGTTTTATTTTGTAAGAGGAGAAAATTAAAAGTCGAATAAAAAAGATGTTCTTTAAGCTCTAAAGCCTAGTATCTTAGATTTAATGAACTAGGTCAAATGTATGACAAATTATATCATATTATATTTTGTTTAGAAAAGCTGGGCTAGGTCCAGACCTAATAGAAACTGTAAATCTTTGTCAAAGGTTTATTATATTTGTTGTTCCTGGGAGATCGTAAAAGTTTTTTCTGTGAAAAATATAAACATTGCTCATTGTATCATGTCATAGATTTACAGGGAATAGGGATTTCTAGCTTTTATTACTTTTTACAACACCCTCTTTCTCCTCTAAACTCCTCTTCTTTCTCTCCTCTCTCTCCTCTCAATCTCTCCTCTCTCTCCTCTCTCTCCTCTTAATCTCTCCTCTATCCTCTCTCTCCTCTCTCTTCTCTCTCGTTTCTCTCCTCTCTCTCTTCTCTCCTTATTATCTGGAATTAAGTTTGGAGTATATTCTAAAACATTTGCCTAGAAGGAGGCTGGATGAAGATAAGCATGAATGAAATGTTTAAGTACGAATAATTTCCTAGAAGTGTTTCGTAGAATTTATAAACACTTGAATCAGTGTCCTTATATCAATGAATAAGCTTCTGTATGATTTGTTTTTACAAGCTTCTCGAAAATGTTCTAATACTGTTGTGTATTCAAATAGGGCTGGGCGCGTTCAGACTTTTTCAAGTTGTTCTTGAACGGTTAGCTAAACTCGTTAAAAATAACTTTTCTGGTACCATTCCTTCTTCAGCTTAAAACTGAAAGTTCCGTTCGTTAACGCTATTATCCGTTAACGAAAGATACTAAAGAAATTGGTTACGGTGGCAGCTATTAACGATTATTTCATATAAAAAGAACTACCATGTTATTGAAAATAATATCAACTTTTTTTTGCAGAGGGTGGGGGATGATTAAAATAGTTTTCGAAATTTTAAATTTCTTAAAATATTTTTTGAACTATTTTGTTTCCGTTGAGTTGTCTAGAATGTATGAATGTAAACATGAGATTAACAGTGACTGTATAGTATCCGGTTTATTTTTCTACCAGTGGCGGTGAGCTCTTTGTTAAAAATAGGGTGTTACAAACATGAATACTATTCGTGATATATCTAATAACTCTAAACTAAATCATTTTTTTGGTCACCAACGTCAAAATGTACATGGTGTCTCTGAAAAAAAGTTTGTTTTTGCTTTTTAGCCTACTAAACATTGTTGTTTTGTTTTAAAGATTGATCGGTCATGTTTCCGAAGGTGTTAATCACTTTTTTATCCGCTAAAAGTCGTTTTTGTACTAAATAGTGTTACTTTAACTGTTTTTAAGAATTTCAAACAAATTTAAACATCTACTTTCGTCATTTGTTTTTATTAAAGGGACAGACCGGCTATGTTAGGCAGTGTTGTGGACAAATTCTTTAGGATTCATTTGAGACATATAAATCAAAATTAGAATTAATTTTTTCCCTTTTCATCATTAAATTGAATTTCTTTTTTTCTATGAATTTGTTCGCAGATTTATTCAAATTCTTGAAATGTCGTCTTTTTAATAAAATTCCGGAAAATCTGCAGAAAATCTTTGTGATTGAAGAGAGATTATAGAAACTAATAATTGAATAAGATTACTTATTTTCGATGATAAGAGTTAATTTTTTTCAACCTGTTCCTAAGCAACTAATTACTTTACTGTAGAATTTGGTTTCCATTTTTGTCGTCGTTATTTAATAATTTAAAAATCAATTCTGAAAACGTATTTACCCAAAAGGGCGATTTTGAACGTCAACTTTGCGCTCAAACTCAGGATTTACAGATCGTTAAAAAGGTTTATATGTCTCAAATGAATCCTAAAGAATTTGTCCACAACACTGCATACTCAGTTTATCTACATTACCGTAAGAATTAAATTATAATCGTCACCTTGTTTGAAATTCTTTGGAAAAGAGACCGAGCTCATTTTTTAATATACGGACTACTTTTGTATCTTACAACGGCATTTTAGAGAAAAATGTTTCTTCGGGAACCCCCCCCCCCCCATCCCCTTAATTATTACTAGGAATTGTACTTGTAGGACTGAGCACGTTCGAGCTTTTTCTAGCCGTTTCGTTAAAGTTTAATTCCAACCATTAACTAGACAAATTTTAGTTAGCCATTAATTTTAAAGGTGAGCACGAAACGTTCGTTTCTTTAACGGAATTTTCCGTTTCTTTAAGTACCGTTAGTTAACGATCTCAATTTTATTATCGGCGTTAATTTTCACCAAGCGTTAACGGCTAAATCCGTTAAATGTACCCTTACTACAAAATTAACGATAAAATGTTCGTTAATAATTACTGAAATCGTTAACGGCACAACCGTTAACAGTCAATTGCAATATCAACATTGTTAATGACGAACAAAATCATTAACGGTGTATGAACACAAACATAAAAAAACACGTTAAAATTTTTTAAGTTTTTTAAAAAGTTTCATGCTATTTTAATCCGAAAAAAACAGAAATAACCGTTTAAAAAAATCCGTTTAATTTTCGTTTTTAACCGTTATTTTTTTCTTTCAAAAACTGCTAATTCGTTTTCTTAACGATTTAAAAATTAACTGTTTTTGCCGGTCGTTAACCGACTCTCCGTTAATTTTATAAAACCTCCGTTTTGTTAACTCTGTTTATCTAAACAAAACTTTGTTAATATTGTTTATTAGATATTGACAGATTTATTTGTTTATTTTAAAGAATTTTTCAAAAAATATATTAAAAATATTTAAAATAAAAATATATACACTAGGCTTTTAGGGCGTTTCGCGCCCATCTTCTATTTCAATTGTGAACATATTCTCCTCTATGTGTAATGTGTATACATTGTAAAACAAAAACAGAACTAAAAAATTGCAAGGTAATGACTGTGTATGTGTATATTTCAAGTATCTTAAACTTATGCCTGATATCCAAGAAGCCAAATGTTTTGAATTTACAGTTCAAATTTTGCCTCCCCCTAGGAGCTCTTTGATGGGGGGGGGGGGGGTTATTCCGCTTCGCGCATATTCGGCCTACCCCTAGATGTATTTATGTATGCTCTTGTCAGAATATTATGAATGAAGTAAAAAACACTGAATTGTTATTCAAACTGAAAACAAGAACAAATATTGATAATTAATAATAATAATTTCCCTTACTGATAAAGGTCAAAAGTATAATTTAAAATTCATGATTTTAGAATATTCTAGACAGGATCAAGTCTTTGCAGCAAACTCTGATTTTCCAGTCCCTATATCTTTGCAACTCAATGTTGTAGACATGAGATATTTCTACCTGTGAATTCAGTTATATCGAATAATCATAAGTTTAAAATGTAAAAGGTTTACGCGCCATCAGGTAGCAAAGACATAGGGATTAGAACATTTGAGTTTGTGGCAAAGAATTAATTCCTTTATGATATATGTTCTGAGATCTTAATCCTTTTATTGCATACGTGAAATAAGCTCTTTTATTTGTCAAGAAATCAAAATCTGGAAATCTTTTTCAGCTTATTTTCCAAAAAAAATTACATTAAATTTAAAATATGAAAATCCTCGTAAAAGATACCGATCTAATGTTCTCCTATTCTTCTTCTCAAGGTTAAAATGGCAAAAAATAATCGATGATTTTAGGTTGTAATATCTGTATGATTTGTTTGAAATTAAATTGATTATTTTACGATACTAGGTATATTGCAACATTGAAATTGTATGGACGCTACATTTTTCAGTCGTTTTTAACAATTTTCTCCTTCAGACGCAACAGATAGAAGTAAGATTAGTAGCGATCAAAAGCGATTATTTTTCGCCATGAGGCTAAACCCCCTTTCATTTTTCGCGAACACTCCCTTTAAGTAAATTAAGCCACCGAGCTGCAGATTTGGTTGGACCACAAAACGCTTCGGAGCTATTTAGAAAATAAGGCTGCATTCATTTTTCGCGAACACTCCCTTTAAGTGAAACGGCAGTTGATGTTATTCTGTAGGAAACGCATGAATGTTAAAACAAACACAAATCTGGAAATTCTGAAAATGAACTTTAAACCTCAAGGTTCTTTACTCCATAGATAGGCATAAGGAATACGTACCTCTTATATTCTATTTGGTAGTATAGTGCAGAGGGAAAAGATGAAGAAAGAAATGATTAGAAAATTTCAATATTGATTTCAATTTCAAAAGCAATTCTATAATCAAATCAATTAACTAAAGAAAAATTACTAAACAATTCTATTCATAACCTATAATTCTTTTAGATATTAATGTTACTTATTCTTATTTCGAATTATAAATTCGTTTTTAGGATTGACTTTGTTATGTTCATGTAACTAATAAACTTATTTTAACCAATAAGCATTTTTGAATGTAAATGTTCTTGACGATATCAAGATTCAAAACTGTTTGTGGCCTACAAAAGTATGCATTTTTTACTTTGCCACAAACTCAAATTTTCTAATCGCAAACTCTTTTGCAATCTAATAATGTAAACCTTTGATATTTCAAACATAGATTATTTGATCTAACCAACTTGAAATTGGGTTGCAAGGATGCATTGATAAGAAAATCAGAGTTTGTGTACAAGCCTTAATTCCCTGCTGTGTGAAAAGCTAAAGCTTATTTCGTAATAAAATATGCTAAGCTTATCTTAAATTCGATGCGCGGTTATCAAACAGATCCTTTAGTGCAGGAAATGATAAAAAGTTGTCCCATGTAACTATAATTCTGGGATATACAACATAAGAAAAGTCAGCATCAATGAATTGAGTCTTTGCTACAAACTCTGACAGTTTAATTCGTATATCTTTTCAACCAAATGTCGTAGAGCTTATGTATTTCAAGTTTTAGATATCATAGGTTAACACTAAAAGGTTGCAAAGATTAAAGGTTTTAGAAAATTTTAGTTTTGTGGCAAAAAGACACAAATCAAATTCTGATTTTTCAGATTTTTCTTATATTTGTTTCAGACATTTTTTCAGGGCCTGGCCTTGATGACGTCATTGAGATAAGACTACTGGGTGCAATATATGTTTGATGTTTACCGACTTCAGTTCAGTTTAATACTGTCAACCAAACCTTAGGGTTCTCACACAATATGCAGTACAGTACACAACATACACTACAGTACATGCTTAGTACACTCATGCAAAGAAAGTTAAACTTTAAGTACAAAAAGAAGTTGTACATGGTGATTGTAGTGTTTATGTACATATCAGAAGTGTACTGTGAGTACACAGGACTAGATACTAGATCATGTACTGGGAGGGAGCAGAAACGTATTTTGAATAATATGCCAGGTAAATAATTGCAGTACTTGCCGTACGCTAAATATTGCATCATGTGGTTTGTTATCAGCACAGGTAAATTTTCAGCAACAATTCCTCCCCTAAGCCCGAGATTTAAATTTGAGTATCGTTGAACAAAACTTCCGAGTTTCATTTTCGGGGTCTTAACATTTGTGTAAATTTTGATTTAAGAGATTCGAAAAAATGGAGAATATGAAGAAACCAAATAAAATAATATTTCATAACAAAAATAAATTAATATCCAAAAAACTGCCTAACCCCATTCGTAAACCCTGGGTTCCAAAACTGGTTTTATAAAGATACCCTGTCTTAAGTTTTGGGCTCTAGCCAAGATTCTGAATATTGATTTTACTAAAAGTAGAGACGGGCGCGTTCGTTTTTTATTTGGTTTGTACATCGTTCGTGAACAATCCATTTATTTTTCAATCGTTCAAACAAATCGATTTTGTTTTTTTTTCAAAAATATCGTTCACTTTCCATCTATTTCGTTCGTTTTCTCAGTGAACAATTGTTCAGTAAAATCATTCGTCTAATAAAGACGTTCAGGTAATAAAATTGTTTGTTTAATACAAACAATCGTTTTCTCAACAATCATTTGTTCAGTAAAAAATTAATTGTTTATTTTAAAGTTTGTTTAAAATAAATCGTTCATTCAGTAAAAAACTATCGTCGTTGACAAAATCTTTTTAAAAATTCGCTCGTTCAGTAAAAAAGTTATAGTTTTTTTCAACTTCGTTTAGACGATTTGTATTGTTCGTTTTTAATTTCTCAGAACAATCCAAGTCATTTGTTCAGCGTTCGTTTCTTTTCTGAACGACACTATCATTCACAATAAATGTTGTTCGTTCTTAAAAACGATGCCCATATCTTAAAGGAAGTGTTCGCGAAAAATGAAAGGGGGTATAGGCTTAATGCGATAAAAAAGCGCTTTTGATCGCTACTCTATCTGTTGCGTCTATAAGGAGAAAATTGTTAAAGACGTACATATCATACCGAATAACATGGCGTCCATTCAAATTGAGAAAATTGCAACATACGACTTAGACCGTAAAAAATCATTTAGATATTACAACCTATAGTCATCGATCATCTTTCGCCACATTTGTATAATATTTTAAAATATAAACTATATACAAATGTGGCGAAAGATAATCGATAAACTATAGGTTGTAATATCTGAATGATTTGTTTGAAATTAAATTGATTTTTTTACGGTCTCAGTTATTCGGTATGAGACGTCTTTAACAATTTTCTCCTTATAGACGCAACAGATAGAAGTAAGATTAGTAGCTATCAAAAGCGCTCTTTTATCGCATTAAGCCTATACCCCCTTCATTTTTCGCGAACATTCCCTTTAATAGAAAGGGATGATTCATTCAGTGTGCTTTCCTGTTTAGTCTTCTGTAGCTTTACACATACCGTACAACATGCTGTAGTTGCTTAAAAGTCGGTCTTTTACCTCAAATAAACAGGATTTTCAGTGCCTCGGCAACTAAAAGCAAGAACCCCCTCACTGTATTTATTATTATTTTTATTATTATCATTTTTATCATTATTGTTATTTCTAGCTTGTCAAGTACGTGACACGGTTGTTGATCTGAGACCAATATTTAGTAATAGAAGTAATGTAGTAGAGGTATTCTTAGTATTATAATTAGTATTATTATTATTATTTTTATTATTATCATTATCATTATCAATATTATCATTATTATTATTAGTATCTTATTCTAATTAAGGTTATTCCCTCCCATGCTGTAGTAGGAAGGTGTGGTGGGGGGTGTAACCTCCCTCACCATACCTGCCAGCCTCGCACCTCAGTTTTAACCAAGATGGAGGTAATGTTAGTCCTTGACGTCTGGCCTCAGGGAGAACACGAGGTGGTCTGTAGTCAGGCCTGGGTTCAGGAGGATCAGGTTAGAGATTACATTTTATAAATCCCAGGATATCTTGAACCGTTTAGTTTGTTTGCTTCAAGCAGAATTTGTACTAGTTAATTTGTGTTCTATAAAATACGTTTATTTAAATTAAAGTACGCGGAGAACTGAAAATATTTTGTTTTATGATTTTTTTATGATTTCTAACCCTAAAAATACAACATTATTAACATAAAAAAGTTTAAGAAAACGTCGTCATCACCATATAGACTTTACATCTTTCATGAATGTATATATTTCAAGATTGTACATATTTTAGGATTGTACATGTGATTGCAGAATCCGGGCTGAACACTGTTTACCAGATGTACAACAGTACAACGCACAAGCTTGCAGGTACAGTACAACGCTATTTTATAAATGGGCCCGGGAATAATTGAATAAGATTTTGCGCAGGAATCCCTAGATTGAAACCAGAGAGATACCCCCTGAATTGGTATAATATGCAACAATTGGCCGTTAGATGTCAGTCAAAAAACCTTTCATGGAAGTGTAGCATGTCGTGCCGGGACAGCTATAGGCCTGCTAAGCCTATCCAGTTAGAGCTTATGTGCAGTCTGTGTATATCTAGTCTGTGGTTGATAGGTATTTCTAGGAGTTCACATCATGATAAGCTTATTTTCACAGTTGGATATTTTAGGGTTGTTATTTTTAAGAACTATTTGTTTGGGGTAACTAGATTAATTGTATAACAGTAGCTAGACATGAATTGTATAACAGTAATTAGGCATGAATTGTATAGTAGTAACTAGAAATGAATTGTATAACAGTAGCTAGACATGAATTGTATAACAGTAACTAAGACATGAATTGTTAACAGTAACTAGGCATGAATTGTATAACAGTAACTAGGCATGAATTGTATAACAGTAGCTAGACATGAATTGTATAACAGTAACTAAGACATGAATTGTATAACAGTAGCTAGGCATGAATTGTATAACAGTAACGATACATGAATTGTATAACAGTAACTAGACATGAATTGTATAACAGTAACTAGGCAAGAATATATCGTATAACAGTAGTTAGACATGAATATATTGTATAAGAGTAGCTAGACATGAATTGTATAACATAAGCTAATAAATAAAATTTAGATTCTCACTGTGTGAAGTACGTAATTTTTACTCAAGTTTATTAGTTTATCGTAAATTTCTAAGATTATTATTTATGGATGTTAATAAGGACTTTTTTAATTTTTCATCAATACCGGATATTTCACAACGCTTAAGCACAGAAAGATAAGACTTTAATTTAAAAGAATTCGACCAAAATTAGCTATTTTAATTCCCATGTTTATAAATTTGAAAAACAAATATCGATTTCTTTTAATATTTTTAATAAGAAAAAAATTAAGAATAAGAATAAGTCCAGATGAAGATGTAAAGAATAATTTCATTATTTCTAAAATAGTTCTTGTTTAAGATGTGTTTGTACAAATGTCGAGGAACGAACTGCTTGTTTGGAACGAGATATGATCTGGGATCCATATTCTTGTTCCTGTTCCTGTCCTAGGCATACATTACAGCACTGTTCTACAGGTACTTGGTAAACGTTATCTTAGTTTGAAAAGAATCTGTTCTAATTTCAATTGGCCTTCCATATAATGGATACTCTCTAGACCGTTATCTCTTACAAAGAATTTAAGATTTCTTCGTTTTTATAGCTTTAAATATGTGAATTATGAATCCCTCCAGTGCAATTATAACCCCCCAGGAAGGATATCTGAATCCCTCCAGTGGAATTATAAACCCCCAGGAAGGATAACTGAATCCCTCCAGTGCAATTATAACCCTCCAGGAAGGACATCTGAATCCCTCCAGTGGAATGTAAATCACTGTAGTCCTGCCAATTTTATTTAAAGAGGAAGCTATTGTTGTACATAATCAATGTTCATAGAGAATATGATGGACATCTTATGAACTATTGTTGAACATATTCAATTTTTAAAGAGAATATGATGTACATCTTATGAACTATTGTTGAACATATTCAATGTTTAAAGAGAATATGATGGACATCTTATGAACTATTGTTGAACATATTCAATGTTTAAAGAGAATATGATGGACATCTTATGAACTATTGTTTAAACAAAGCTTGTAATGGTATGGTAGAGAATCGGGAATCCTACACTGTAAATGAAGGGAAACTTTAAATTACGTTTTGGTGAAGACTAAGGTATGTAAAAACTATGAATTATGAGGTTTTAAATCTATTTTTTATTAAGGCTATGTTTTTGATCTGTCCAAGTCATGTCGCTGCATCCAAATTTCCTTGATTGCGTCTGAGGGAATGTTGGCAGCTATCATTGTTATTATTTCTATCATTGTATTAACTGTTCTCACAGGGTTAGTATTATAATACGATTTAATTATTATTATTATTATTATTATTATTATTATTATTATTATTATTATTATTATTATTATTATTATTATTATTATTATTATTATTATTATTATTATTATTATTATTATTATTATTATTATTATTATTATTATTATTATTATTATTATTATTATTATTATTATTATTATTATTATTATTATTATTATTATTATTATTATTATTATTATTATTATTATTATTATTATTATTATTATTATTATTATTATTATTATTATTATTATTATTATTATTATTATTATTATTATTATTATTATTATTATTATTATTATTATTATTATTATTATTATTATTATTATTATTATTATTATTATTATTATTATTATTATTATTATTATTATTATTATTATTATTATTATTATTATTATTATTATTATTATTATTATTATTATTATTATTATTATTATTATTATTATTATTATTATTATTATTATTATTATTATTATTATTATTATTATTATTATTATTATTATTATTATTATTATTATTATTATTATTATTATTATTATTATTATTATTATTNAAGAGTAAACGTACAGTATCTTCATTTTCTTATAAAAACTTCACCTTTCAAGTCCTAGTTCTAACATCTCTCCTAGTAACTAAACAAATATATTATAAGAGATAATATTAAATTTTTAATGTTTATTTAACAATTTTTGAAAAAAAGTTTTTATAAAATATAAATAAAAATGTTTAATAAATTATTTTAATAGTGTTGCAGTATTGAATATTATTATTATTATTATTATTATTATTATTATTATTATTATTATCATTATTATTATTATTATTATCTTATTATTAGAATTTTGATGTACCGTACTCAAACTGGTGTATTCCGACGGGAGCGGAAGATTGGTGGGATGGAAACTGATTCTACGCAAAATGCGCGTACGCGTCTGATGACGCAACAATCTAGATCTGAATTTGACTTATTTGTCGGAAACTCTAAGGTTAGTTTAACATCAACTTAAAATACTTATAGCATTATAAATCTCAAAAAATTATTTTTATATAATAGAAAATGCTTTTATATTTGATGGCATCGCATTGTAAGTCACAAGAGGGGACAAGCATACTAGTTCTAGTTGTAGACCTAAAATTACAGATAGGAAAAAGACGTACATCTATAAAGCGTTTTCAAAATATTAAAATTAATGAAATTATCGCCAAATAACGTCCGAAAATAAGTTTTTTAAACTTTTTTAATGTTTTCGATGAGTTTTTTTTATCTCAGACTCATAAAGTTGTCATTTTTATAGAAGCACTTTTCAGATTTGAATTCAGCATAAAATTTTCAAGAAAATTATGTATAACATGAAATTTTCATTTTTTTTGGGGGGGGGGCTTACGATATTAAATCGTCAATTCACAACCGTATGGACGATTTTGAATTTTTTACTTGAAAACGCAGCAACTTCTGGTGGGCGGTCAGCTGATTTCTAAGAAAAGTCACAAATCAATCACCCTTATTATACATAGAATCGTATGCTAGTTAATGATAACAAAAATTTACCGATGCTTAATTGATTGATCTCCAAAAATTAGTTTAAAACAAATTCTTTTAATAATGGTTCTAAAACAATTAATTATTGGATTCATTATTTAAACAATATATTGATTTCAGCGGACTCTGAAGGAGTTTGATGAAACCAAGTTGGCGGGTATTCTGGAAGAAAAATAGAATATATTTAAACTCAAACTCAAGAACAGGAGAAGTTTATGATAATTAGTTCGACTGGAAAATCTGTAAGCTACAGGGTGTCCCACGAAACATTGGCAGTTGGCGAATAGTTTAAAATGTCTTCTTCCATAATATTTCAAGTTGTTTGTTACCATAGAGAATAATAATAAATATTTTATGGCATCCATATTATATTAATATGGATTTTTAATTAAAACATATTTGAGTGAAGTTTTTAAAACTAAATAAACTGCAAAAAGTCTTTAATATCTAATACAGTGTATGGAAGAAGACATTCAAAACTATTCACCAACTGTCATGTTTCGTGGGACACCCTGTAGGTCTGCATTAAAAGAAGCAGATTGCAGCAATTTACATGTAGCAGATAGCAGTACTGTACACTGTACATGCAGCTGATGGCAGTACTGTACACTGTACATGCAGCAGATAGCAGTACTGTACACTGTACATGCAGCTGATGGCAGTACTGTACACTGTGCATGCAGCAGATTGCAGTACTGTACACTGTACATGCACCTGATGGCAGTACTGTACACTTTACATGCAGCAGATGGCAGTACTGTACACTGTACTGTGTATGACAGTACTGTACAATGCACAGGAGATAGTAAATACACTATAAGGTAAATGGCAGTATTGTACAATGGATGGCATTATGGTACACTGTACTGTACAATAGATGGCAGTATTGTACACTGAACAATAGATGGCAGTATTGTACACTGTGCAATAGATGACAGTATTGTTCATTGTGCAGTATTGTACACTGTTCAGTGTACAGGTCTAGACATACAGACGTGATAGTAAAATCCAGTAGAGTACGACATATATCATTAGAGAGGTAGGAAGTAACCATTATTTCTAGTGTATACACTATTTTCTTATTATCATTTAACCTTAAATATATGTTAATGTTTTTTTTTTATTCATTTAATTTAATTCTACACATAAACCTAGGTTATAAATTAAAAACATATGTGAATTATAGATATCAAATTTTTCTCAAGAACTCTTAGTTATTCTACTTGGTCTAAAAACCAAGTCATGAGAGTTCCTGTATCGCTTTAAAACAAACTATAAACACGATACTCTGGATAATACTTTGATTGGAATGATAAAAATTATAACATAGCCAATATAAAAAGTGTGAATTAAAGTGTAAATCATTGAAAATAACATTGAAATGAAAAGGTAAAATGGCGATTTCATTGTTCTCCGTTGGGATGCACTATAGCTCGATGTATACTGCTTTTAAACGAATTGATCAAGAGCTGAAAACCTTAGAATTGTTAATATCGAGATCAATTCTTGATTTTCTCTTTTTTGTTAATCTCCCGATTAATTTAATCTTAAGTATGTATCCACAAAAGTATATATAACTCAACCAATCGAATGGCGTTTAGAGAAACCGAAAAAGCCAATTAGAGAAACCGGGAAAGGATTTGAGTCTTTGCCGCAAACTCTGATATTCTAATCCCTTTATCTTTGCAACCCAATGTCGTAAACCTTTGATATTTCATAGTTTGAAATATTAAAATTTACATAATTGGATTGCAAAGATATAGGTAGGAAAAGTTTTGAGTTTGTGACAAACGATTAAGCATGGAAAATTGGGAAAGTGTTCACATTGGATGAAGCAATCTGGATTAAATTCTAAAGTTTCCAACTTCGGAAAGTTAGTGTTGGATATAGTGTTTTCAAGGCAAGTGGATTTTACTTGTGCGCTATTACGAGCCCTTGCGCGCAATTCCGTAATAATTGCGCGCAATAAACGCAATGGAATTACGTTTGTGTTTCAACTTTTTGATACTTTTAAATTTAAGTCTTATGGCACGCAATAAATGCAATTAATTATTGAATTCCTTTCAAAAACAAAAATTTCAATTTAAACTTTGGTAGTGGCACACACTAAACTAAACTGCACTAACATTTCAGTCTCAAATGCTAAGAAAATTGAAATAAAGTTAATCTTTTGTTATAATATTCATTTGCAGCATGATGACCAGAAAACTCTGACATAGGAAGACGACATTTTAGACTCAAGCAGACCAATGTAACTGAATAAGTGATATAATAAGATACTACTTAATGTTTTTTGCTATGTTGTCCTTCAGTTCCATAGTTTTCTGGTTCTCACTGTAGCAAAATATCTAATTTTGATTAAACGAACCTTACAATTTTAACGAAAAAAAATTTCCATTTTAATGTTCATCCAATGATAACGAATAAAAATGTATCATTTTAGATTTTTAATTAAATAGAAAATTAATGGAAACTAAAAAATTTGAAAACTGTTGAAACAATTGTGAAACTTGGGCCTCGATTATTTTAAAATCTACAGAGATATTTCCATTATTGTATCTGCTGCATAAATTTGAAAGTCGAACAGTTAGTTGCACGCAATTCCGCGAATATTCAATTGCTTCCTTTTTCGCAATTTTATCGCAATTCCGCGCAATGAAATGGCGCAAGCGGAAGCAACCATTGCGCGCAATTCTGCGCAACGGAATTCCGATTGGAATCCCTAGTTGGATATATAGCAAAACCTTCAGTGGCTGAACTTGATATTCAGTGGACATTATTAACCTTTTCCTATTCGGGCTATTTTATCTAATTTATGTAGACGGAGGGGGAGAGGTAGAATAAAAAAATGTTGAAAAACATTTCGATTTTTTTAGCCTATAACACCCCCCGGCCACCCATGATTGTTAACGAAAAATTTCAGCCCATTCGGTTAAGCCGTTTGGCCGGCTATAGACAATATATATATATATATACGAATGTCTTCATTTATTATGTAGATAATGTAACAACTTTTATCTTGATTGTGAAAATCAATATATCAACGTTATTTATACATACAAAGATGAGACACGTTTTAGTGAATAATCTATGTCTCCGAACACTTAAGAATTAAGGGGTTAAGGCTGTTTTATCAATCTTTATAAAGGATAAACACTTCCTAAAGGTTCAATTTACATAATTCATTAATTCAAAATATTAAATTCATATATTTCAAACAAAATAAAAAACTAGAAGCAAATAATAGACACAATATAAGTTTACAAGGAAACAAGAGAAGCTGTTCATTGACAAATTAAGATAAAAATTAGTCTTCATTGTATTGATATATACGAAGACTACTCTATTTTTCTAGTTGTCAAGTTGTCTAGCGATGATGGTTTGAAGGTTTTGGTTTGATATTAATCGTTGCTCTTGCGATACTGTCCTATTCACAGTTAACATCTCTTTTTTTAATTTGTCATCAAGATTTTTGGTTTTGAGTGTTTTGTGGAGTTTTTAGTTTTTAAGTTTAAAGGAAATCTTTTAAATTAGTCCATGAGACAAGAATATAGCTTCACCCGAGGCTGAACCCAAAAACCGGTTCTAATTGAGCGCCGGCTCAAATCTCGAAACACTGAATTCAATTTCGATCAAGTGGAACTAGACGCGGCTCAAATTCTTTACATTCGGTCTCCGATAAAAATAAAATGGAAAGGAATATTTTGCCAAGTTTTAAATTTATTGATTCTATCAACCTTTAACCAGCAATCCCTGTTTTTATTTTTATTAAAAAAGATATTTTCCTGTATTTTGTTCAAGAAATAGTCTCTCCCGGTATCAACAGGCCGAGATGGAAGCAGGAAATCCAGAACAGGAATTAGAACAAGGATACCTAGAACAGGAGAATAGGAATTAATACAGGGATTCCTAGAACAGGAGAACAGGAATTACTGAATTAGTACAGGTATTCCTAGAACAGGAGAACATGGTTAAGTACTGCAAGGATTCCTAGAACAGAAGAACAGGAGTTAGTTCAGGGATTCCTGAAGAGGAAAACAGGAATTAGAATTGCAATGATTCCTAGAACAGGAGAATAGGAATTAGAAAAAGGATTCCTAGAAGAGGAGAATAGGAATTAGCACAAGGATTCCTAGAACAGGAGAACAGGAATTACTGAACTAGTACAGGTTTTTCTAGAACAGGAGAAAATAAAAAAATACTGCAAGGATTCCTAGAACAGAAGAACAGGAATTAGTTCAAGGATTACTAGAACAGGAGAACATAAATAAGCACTGCATTGATTCCTAGAACAGATGAACAGGAATTAGTACAAGGATTCCTAGAACAGCAAAACAGAAATAATTACAAGGATTCCTAAAACAGGACAACAGGAATAATTACAAGTATTCCTAGAACAACAGAACAGGAATAAGTACAAGTATTCCTAGAACAGCAGAACAGGAATAAGTACAAGTATTCATAGAACAGCAGAACAGGAATAATTATAAGGATTCCTAGAACAGGAGAACAGGAATAAGTAGAAGTATTCCTAGAACAGCAGAACAGGAATAAGTACAAGTATTCATAGAACAGCAGAACAGGAATAAGTACAAGTATTCATAGACCAGCAGAACAGGAATAAGTACAAGTATTCATAGACCAGCAGAACAGGAATAAGTACAAGTATTCCTAGAACAGGAATAAATACAAGTATTCCTAGAACAGGAGAACAGGAATAAGTACAAGTATTCCTAGAACAGGAGAACAGGAATAAGCACAATTATTCCTAGAACAGGACAACAAAAATAAGTACAAGTATTTCTAGAAAAGGAGAACAGGAATAAGTAAAAGTATTCCTAGAACAGGAGAACTTGAATAATTATATGGATTCCTAGAACAGGAGAACATGAATAATTGTAGGATTCCTAGAACAGGAGAACATGAATGATTATAGGATTCCTAGAACAGGAGAACATTAATAATTATAGGATTCCTAGAACAGGAGAACTTGAATTATTATAAGGATTCCTAGAACTGAAGAAAGCTACTTAACAAGAAATTTTAGTACAGGAAATAAAAATAGTTCTCGAATCAAAATCTTTTTGTTTATAACTAACCTGCAAACATGGCTATGAAATTAATAGTTAATGCTGTGGACATGTTACTCAAATCATTCCAACTTTTCTGTAAATTGGCGCCATTAGTGCCGAACAGCTGATTTCCTTCCATTCCAATGATCAGCTGATTTCTGTTCCCCTGCAACCCATCTAACGGTAGTTGTGTTCTTGGCGCATTTTCCTTGTTAATTCCAGACAAGTAAGAGTTGGGAACATTGGTCTTCTTATTAGGACATGGATATCCATAACAATCCTTAAAAAATAAAAAAAACATGAATTCGCAATTTTCTGCGTGGGAGTGTGAGCCCAAGTACTCTTCAAAATTGCTGCATCTCATGGTCATGACTTTTGAGATTAAAAGTCGTCTTCCAATTCCACAGTTGTATTGCAGGTGTGCATCTAGTCTGCACTGTACCTGTATAGGTGTGCATCTAGTCTGCACTGTACCTGTATAGATGTGCATCTAGTCTGTTACTGTACCTGTATAGGTGTTCATCTAGTCTGCACTGTACCTGTATACGTGTGTATCTAGTCTGCACTGTACCTGTATAGGTGTGCATCTAGTCTGCACTGTACCTGTATAGGTGTGCATCTAGTCTGCACTGTACCTGTATAGGTGTGCATCTAGTCTGCACTGTACCTGTATATGGTATGCATCTAGTCTGTACTGTACCTGTGGGAAAGAGTATGGCTTGTGTTTACTTCTGTCAATTAGCTGAAGATTACTTCTTGGTTTCTGAATTAACAGATCTTCTCCTGCACTGAAATATATTAAATTATTTATTCTGTAAAACAGTTTCTAAATATTTTAAATATAATGAACATATAAATTATCAATTTCAAAATGCAAAGCAAATATCTACAATACAAAGTATAAAATAATGAAAGTAGGTGTATTAAGAATAAATTGGAATTAAATCCACATCGAGCTACAGTGATAGTTTTTATCAACACAGGTGTTCAGAAATGAGTTCATTTTTATTCAAAACAAAAAAGACTTTTTTCCCGTATTTAGGAAATATGTAGATAAAGTTTTTTATGTTAATATAGTTGAAGAAGTGAACTAGTTTTTGTTCGATTTATGTTGTTTTAAATTTTCTTTTCAGTTGAAATCAACATTTCATGATTATATAACAAAATGGACTTTTGATCGGTTAATCATTGAACAGTTATAAGATATAAAATTATGTCTGGGCAAGCAGAATCTATAAAAAAATTGCTACAGGTTGCAAAGGATTGAAAAGAGTAAACGTACAGTATCTTCATTTTCTTATAAAAACTTCACCTTTCAAGTCCTAGTTCTAACATCTCTCCTAGTAACTAAACAAATATATTATAAGAGATAATATTAAATTTTTAATGTTTATTTAACAATTTTTGAAAAAAAGTTTTTATAAAATATAAATAAAAATGTTTAATAAATTATTTTAATAGTGTTGCAGTATTGAATATTTTAAATTTTAAAAGAAATTAATAAAAAAAATATTGTTTTCTATGGTGCACTCTAAATTGTGATGTTGATCAAAGTCTTGGTATCTTTACTTTTATACTTTTACACACCGTACCTGCTATTAAAAAAGACCTCTCCAACATTTTACAGGAATTTAATCTGATTTTCAAATGAATAAGTAAGTTTTTGTTATAAAATATTTCACATATCAAATATTTAAAAATATCTTTTGCTCGTCTGTTTGCTGTTATCTAATAAATTGATTATATTCTCATGACGGCCCTAAAGGCTGAAAAGTTTTATGGATGATTGACATTTACGAGTTTTAAATATTCGCCATTTAAATCAGGAAAATCTGCAAAAAATCTGCAAATAATTTTTATTTGAGTATGGTGGTTGGAAGTAAAATAGTTACTAGAGCGCCTTAAAAGGACTCAAAGAAGTTCGTAGTAAGATTTCGATTCTACTGGAGACCACCGGAGGGATTTTATTTGCACTGGAGGGGTTTCAAAAAATGCTTTTTACAATTTGAAACGTTACGCAGGGTGATTTACATTCCACTGGAGGGATTCAGTTATCCTTCCTGGGGGTTTATAATTCCACTGGATGGATTCAGATATCCTTCCTGGGGGGTTATAATTCCACTGGAGGGAGTCAGATATCCGTCCTATGAGTTTATAATTCCACTGGAGGGATTCAGATATCCTTCCTGTGGGTTTATAATTGCATTGGCGGGATTCATATATCTTTCCAGGGGGTTTATAATTCCACTGGAGGGATTCAGATATCCTTCCTAGGGGTTTATAATTTATCTGAATCCCTCCAGTGGAATTATAAACCCCCAGGAAGGATATCTGAATCCCTCCAGTAGAATTATAAACCCCGTGGAAGGATAACTGAATCCCTCCAGTGGAATTATAAACCTCTTGGAAGGATAACTGAATCCCTCCAGTGGAATTATAAACCATTTGGAAGGATAACTGAATCCCTCCAGTGGAATTATAGACCCCCGGGAAAGATATCTGAATCCCTCCAGTGGAATTATAAACCCCTTGGAAGGATAACTGAATCCCTCCAGTGGAATAATAAAACCCCCAGGAAGGATATCTGAATCCCTCCAGTGGAATTATAAAGCCCTAGGACGGATAACTGAATCCCTCCAGTGTAAGTATTACCCCCCTGGAAAGATATCTGAATCCCTCCAGTGGAATGTAAATCACCCTGCGTAAAGTTTTGAATTGTAAAAATCATTTTTTCAAAACCCTCCACACTGTATCCTTAAGATCAAAATGTTAATAATCTGCGACAAATAATCCCTTAGTTACAGACTTTTTGTCGCTTACTTACGTATTAAAAATTAAAAAAAGAATTCCCCCCGGTGGTCTCCAGTGGAGTCAAAATCTTACTACGAACTTCCGTGACTCCCTTAAAAGCATAATATTCAAATACATTCTTTTCTTGGCTGATTTTTTGTATCCAATAAACTTGAAAACAGTTGGACAGATCGGACCAACATTTGTTTTAGCAACTCATAGTCATATTCGAAAATTTCGACTATTACGATTAAAAACAAACAAAATTTTTAAAATCTGTGGATTGCACATTTATTCAGCCTGCATAAAACAGTCTCATCAGTTCTTAAGACAGGGTCGACTTTTAAGTGTCTTAACGCTTTGGGCTTAGATTTTAACGCCCTTTTCTGATTCCATTAAGAGGTGCATGTAGCACTATAAAACACTTGAAGCATTGGTTTTTAAGAAGTAATCGGCGAAATTCTCATAGATTTTTGCTTGAGATTGGAAAATCACAGTGAAAAATCACAGTGATTGGAAAACGATTAAAAAATGGCAGCTTGAAAATAGCACTTGAACAATTAAAAGCAAAAATTGTTACAAAAAAGGCTTGCAAAGTACCCTAAAATCCTAGTGTAAATATATATTATATCGTAGTTGTGTATACACTGAACTATCCAGGTGAATGTTTGACTGGGCTGGGTTGACCCAACCATATATTATATTAGTCTACCTCCACAACACAGGGTGAAACAAAAATAATTTTTTCTTTTTCTGATATATCACATCTATATATCCAGCAAATATACTTCTCATTTAAACTATCTGAATATATCAATATTTATTATTTAAATTTTTAAAAAACTTGATATGATTTGTAAATTTGAACATATCAAATACGTTGTCATTACACGCCTCGCCCCTTCCTTTCAAACCTCCTACCTGCCACCCACCCCTTCATCATCTTTCAATAAACAATATTATTATATATATATACCCTTCCCTACCCGATCCTACCAGATCCTACCCGATCCTACCCTTCCCTACCCGATCCTACCCGATCCTACCCGATCCTACCCAATCCTACCCGATCCTACCAGATCCTATTCTACCCTTGTTTGTGTGTATCCTATTGTTACTACTATATGTGTGGCCCCTATGGTACTGCAGTGCATGTGCGGCCCCTATGCTACTGTAGGTGTAGCTCCTGTACTATGTATGTGAAGCTCTTATGCTACTGCATGTGGAGCCCATATGCTGCTGTAGCCTGTGTGTGGAGCCCCTATGCTATAGTATGTGAAGCCCCTACACTACTGTATGTGTAGCCCCTATTATATTGCATTTGGAGCCCCTATACTACCGTATGTGAAGCCCCTATGCTACTGTATGTGGAGCCCCTATGTTACTGTATGTGGAGCCCCTATGCTGATGTATGTGGAGCCCCTAAGCTACTGTATGTGGAGCCTCTATGTTGATGCATGTGGAGCCCCTATGCTGCTTGATGTGGAGCCCCTATGCTACTGTATGTGGAACCCCTATGCTACTGTATGTGGAGCCCCTATGCTGCTGTATGTGGAACCCCTATACTGATGTATGTGAAGCCCCTATGCTGATGTATGTGGAGTCCCATGTTGCTATATGTGGAGCCCCTATGCTGCTGTATGTGGAGCCCCTATGCTGATATATGTGGAGTCCCATGTTGCTGTATGTGGAGCCCCTTTGCTGCTGTATGTGGAGCCCCAACGCTACTGTATGTGGAGCCCCTATGCTGCTGTATGTGAAGCCCCTATGCTGATGTATGTGGAGTCCCATGTTGCTGTATGTGGAGCCCCTATGCTGCTGTATGTGGAGCCCCTATGCTGCTGTATGTGAAGCCCCTATGCTGATGTATGTGGAGTCCCATGCTGCTGTATGTGGAGCCCCTATATTACTAATCCCTCCTGAATATGCAGATTCGATCTGTGTAAGACCCTACAGAGCAGATGCCTTTAGAAATAAAAGGAAATGGGACAAACAAATCATACCCAGGCTAGTTTTTAAAATTTAACAAAAAGAAAAAACTTTTAAGCACAAATTTTTAAAATTTTAAACATTCATGAACCTTCCCTGGGGTTACGTGATGTCCTACACAAATTTGGGCCCGATAGGTTCAGCCGTTTTGACAAACAAACAGATAAGCAAAATTTATGTACAGATTAATGGACGCTTCCGCAATAATTTGTAGAAACCACAAATTTAAAAATTATTTTCCATGATATAGCAGATACAGTGTGTGAACAAGTATTGTGAATATGTTGTATGCGATGCTATCTCATTTGAACTACTCCCGTTTGAACTATTGTTCGTTTGACCTACTGCACGTGGTACCACGTGAGTAGTTGAAATGAGCAATATTTCAAACGAGTAAATGCATTGCTCATTTGAACTATTTTTTAGTTCATTTGAACTATTATTATTTTAAATGAAATAAACAAAAAATAGTTCAAATGAACATTAAAATAGTTCAAATGAACATTAAAATAGTTCAAATGGACATAAAAAAATAGTTCGAATGAACACAAAAATAGTTTAAATGAATAAAAAAAATAGTTCAAATGGACATAAAAATAGTTCAAATGAACATAAAAATAGTTCAAATGAACATAAAATAGTTCAAATGAAATAGTTCAAATCAAAAAAAAATAGTAAAAATGAACTTAAAATATATAGTTTAAATGAGAAAATATATCTTAAATGAAAATGACATTAAAAAATAGTTCAAATGAACAAAAAATAGTTCAAATGAGAAAAAATAATTCAAATGGACAAAAAAAATAGTTGAAATGAACAAAAAATAGTCACAATGAACAAAAAAGTAATTCAAATGGACGTAAAAATAGTTCAAACATAGACAAAAAATAGTTCAAATGGACATAAAAATAGTTCAAATGGACAAAAAATAGTTCGAATGAACACAAAAACAGTTCAAATGCTGAAGTAATTGTAGGGGAGGGGGCCTCGGGGGCCTGCAGGCCCGTGGGAGGAGGCAGACGCTGAAAGCTGAAGGCATGATTAAGAGGGGACGACATTTGTAGATCGAGATTGAATCCTAGCTGCAGCGCTCGGCCCTGAAAGTGTCATACCTTAACCTAACCCGTGGCCGCAGCGCTCGGCCCAGAAAGTGTCATAACTTAACCTAACCCATGGCCGCAGCGCTCGGCCCAGAAAGTGTCTTAACCTAACCTAACCCTAAATAAATACTAATTTAAATGAATATTGATGAGATAGTGGTCATGTCAAAAAGTAAAATCTGCAGTGAAGTCTTCCCCACCTCGCACACTCGAAGGTTGGAGTTCAGCGTCTGCCGTGGGAGGAGACTGAAAAAGGGGCCAGGTAAAATCACGTCGAGAGTAGGAGTAAATCACATTTGAACTAGTTATATGTTTGTCAACTATTTCCATTTGAAATTTTTTGTTTGTTTATTTTTCAATTGAACTATTTTTTCTCATTTGAACTGTTTTTTTTTTATTTAAACTTTATTTTAAATTCATTTGAACTATTTCATTTGAACTATTTTTATGTTCATTTGAACTATTTTTATGTTCATTTGAATTATTTTTTTGTTAATTTAAGCTATTTTTTCATGTTTATTTAAACATTTCTGTGTAAAATTGTTATCTAATTAATTGTTTTTTGTTCATTTGAACTATTTTTTGTTCTTTTGAACTATTTCATTTGCAGAACTATATTTGTTTTTTCATTTGCACTATTTTTTTTTCTTTTAAACTATTTTAAGTTCATTTCAACTTTTTTTTCAATTTGAACTATTTCATTTGAACTATTTTTATGTTCATTAGAACTATTTTTTATCTTCATTTGAACTATTCTTATGTTCATTTAAACTATTTTTATGTTCATTTGAACTATTTTTATGTTCATTTAAACTATTTTTATGTTTATTTGAACTATTTTGTTTGTTAATTTAAACTTTTTTATGTTTATTTGAAACATTTCTGTGTAATTGTTATCTAATTAATTGTCATGAACTAACTTTATGCGAATTATAAAAAAAAATTAAAAACTGAATTGCGGTAGAAAAATAGTTCAAATGAGCAAGAAATGTGTTGATTTGAACTACAGGATATGACGTCATGTTAGTAGTTCAAATGAACAATAGTTCAAACGAACAATAGTTCAAACGGGAGTAGTTAAAATGAGAATCCACCGTTGTATGCCTGGCCAGGTACTGGTTTGTGCGTCTAATAAATATCAAAAGGGTAAATGTGATCGGAAACAAACTTTGTCTATAAGCATCTCACGTTAAACTAAAGTAACTTCCATGAAACAATTGAAATCTTTTTTTTCAATTATAACTCCTTGAATTGGAGAGATATTGAAAAGAACAGAGATATTTTGAATTTCTAATATTTTACCAAATAACTTTGTTTTTCTCATACTTACGTAAAATCAAAGCTAGAGAAGCTACGAGGTCACAAAGTTGTACCTGTGATGTCGCCTAGATGGTCTTGTTTGCCTAGAATAATAATTTTAAATCGTCCTTAATTTGTCATGCAAGGATAGCAGCATAGCAGTACGTTTGAATTTCCGAGCCGGGTCAACCTTTCCAGTCCCAGTTTGTACTGTACCTAGCTCTATGGACAGGACTATCCGGTGCAACAAGGTTGACGCGGTCAGACTTTATGCTTCATATAGGTGGAATTTACTTTTACTATAGGGGCAGAGGTGCGTGCATGTCCGATTCACAATTTTGCCATCTTAATTTTGCAATCTTATTAAAATTTTAATATTATCAATAATGTCGTTTTCCGACTTGAAAAGTGTTTATTTCTGATAATTTCTCCATAGTTTCTCAAGCATTATGATATGCTCATTGCTCGTGCATGGCTAGAATGGGGTGAGCCTTTTTATTATTATTATTGCGCTTTTTCATAGAAAATTACCTATTTTTATTAAGTAACACTAGAAATTGTCTAAAGTTTCTAAAGTTTTTAAAAGATATCCGAATTCTGTTAAAAAAATGTAGGATTAAATTTGTTGTTCCAAAATCTCCTATAAAACAGAAATATATATATATCTATATGCTTTAATTGTGTGCAGGGTGTCTGTTGGTTTGTTTGTATCAAATAAACGTCAAAACCAATCGGGCCCAAATTTTTGTGGGACCTCGTGTGACCTCAGGAAAGGTTTATGGATAATCAAATTTTTAAAAATTTGCTTCTAACAGAATTCAAATTTTGAAAAGTTTTGAAATTCCACGAAATGTTTTTTATAAAATCCGCGATTTTTTTTGTTTTGTTTTACAATGTATTCAAAGAGAAAATGTTTAAAAACAAAATAGAATATTGGCGCGAAGCGCCCTAAAAGCCTATAACAATATAAAATATTAAATAACCCAATATATTGATATATTAAACTATGAATAATGAATATATATAACAATGAATTAAAATAAATATATATTGAATAAATATATTTGAGCGAACAATATCTCTTATTTTGCATATTTGCGTTTTATTGAGAATGGAAAACCATTCGCACTTAATCATGGTCAGTTAAGGAGGGGCGGGGGGCAGGGGGAGGGCAAAAAAGGGGAAGGGGCTGATTTTACATAGCTACTATTTTAACACTGTTATTTTTGTATGCAGTTCTGCAAAGTTTAAGACGAAATCTTTTTTATTCAGCATTTTTAAATTATATTTTGCCCCGTGCTTTAGCGACGGACATTCACATATATCATTTATAAAGTCGAATAATATTTAGTATTTAATAAAAATTAATTAAGAACAAAATAGTTACATAAATAGGTTTAATAACTAAATTTTACATATTATCAGCTTTATTACAAAAAATAGTTACATAAATAGGTTTAATAACCAAATTTTACATATTATCATCTTTACCTTTTTTTGATTTACGTTGCATTGACATTATTCTTTGATTTATGTTCATTGGCTCGCAGTGGTTCTTTGGTTTAAATTTCTTAAGTCAAGTTGGAAACAGATTTTATTCATAAAAATAAGATTATTAAAGAAATATTTTACATTATTTGAGTTTCTTTTTTGATTACATTTGAGAAATCATACAATTGCAGTTATCTCTGAATAATTTATCACTTTATAAACTTTGAAATATATATTTATCATACGTTATTTTTATTCCTTACTTCTTTACCTTCTCATTCATCCCTTTCTTCTTTACCTTCTCATTCATCCCTTTCTTCTATACCTTCTCATTCATCCCTTACTTCTTTACCTTCTCATTCATCCCTTTCTTCTTTACCTTATCATTAATCCCTTTCTTCTATACCTTCTTATTCATCCCTTACTTCTTTACCTTCTTATTCATCCTTTACTTCTTTACCTTCTTATTCATTCCTTACTTATTTACCTTCTCCTTTATCCCTTACTTCTTTACCTTCTCATTCATCCTTTACTTCTTTACCTTTTCATTTATCCCTTACTTATATACCTCCTTCCTATGGACCTTTATCTTCTTCTTCTTCATCTCCTTCTTTTTTTCCTTCTTCTTCTTCTTCTTTTTCTTCTTCTTCTGATATGTGTGTGTTTTTCTTTATCTTTTGATCTTGAGGAAGTGCAGGGCAGTCTTCTATCAGATGAAACTCAGACTAAATAATCATAATGATAAAGCTAATGATAATGATGATAAACATGATGATAATTATAATAATAATAATAGAATAATGGTAATAATAAATGATGATGATGGTGATAGTAATAATAATAATGAATGATAAAAGTGATGATAGTGATAATAGCAATCACAGCAAATATTAAGATCAGTGCTAGTGGTAACCAGAAAACAGCGGTCTGAAAGTAGTCTTCAATTCTTTCTGTTAAACGTGAAATATTACTAAGGATATTGTAATTTCTAACTGATGTCTTCCAAATGTGTCATAAACATGCTACAAGTATTCTCAGGTATAAGTATATAATAATTACAAATACATCATCCTTTTTTTAGACACCTAGAACTCTGCTTACTTTTGTATTAAAAATTACGGGGGGGGGGGTATAGGGAGACATATAAATAAATGTTTTCCACTGTTTGCATCTGTTTCTAACTTAAACCCTGAATCTCTAGCTAGAGGAGCAGGGCTAACATGCATAATACCAAATACTTTTTTACCTTGCAATTATGACATCGTTTGGGTAATGGCGGCTTTGGACAATCAACTGCTAAGTGCCGCGTCACATCTCCACAGTTAAAACAACGCAGTCGTCTTCCTTTTGGTAAAGGTCGCTTTCCTGCCAGAACAATTCCATCTGAGCCACGCACAGCAGTAGCTTCCCAACCTCTTTCACTTTTCCTACATCAGGAAATAATAAATATTAAAAAACAAGAAAATGTTATGCGAAATAAAACTACAAAGAACATACAAAAAAATAAGAAAGAAAAGAATAGTCCCCATAAGCTATCTACAATTTAAATCCTGCACTGCAGTTATTAATGTCATGCTTTAACAATGAAGGCATTGCAAGGGTCACCAGGACTTAAACGCTTCATCTTTTAACCCTAATTTTTCAATTTTTCAAAAAAACTCTAAATAGCACTCTTATTTTTGACACTTTATCACCTTGACTTTTTAGGAATAGTTATTAAAAAGACGGTCGAAAGGCCGGTTGGCGTTTCAAAAAATGTAAACTATAACAAAAATTGTCTAATTTATTTGGAAATGAGCTGGTTTTGAAAACTTAGACTTAAATTTGAAATTAGGGTTAATCTTAGATTTCTATTTTTCCAAAAACAATTTTTTCCAAGAACATATAAAAAATGTGACCCTATCAATTTTAATAAAATTTAAGAACAGTTTACAAGTTAAACAGAGTTCTTAGAAAAATTAATTAACCTTTTCCCTGCTGGGTATTTTAAAACCAGTATATATTGGGGCGGGGGTCAATTTGACCCACCCCTCTAAATCCCATGTTTGATGTCTAATTATGACAAATTATACATCACTAGAAAGCTCTTATGCTCTACTTTCGGAATCTGCAAAAAAATGCAAACTTGCAAAAATTGAATTTTTTAACAAAACCCATACAGTAAAAATGCTTGCAAAAAAAAGGTCCAAAAATGATAAATTATACTATTTTGAAAAGCCCTTGACCACACCATTTCAAAGTTGCAAAAATTTGTGCAACATTTTAAATAACCTGAAGTGTATTTAGGAAAAACTAAATATGTGTAATTGCTTTTGACGAAGTTTTTAAAAATAATTAGCAATTAAAAAAAGCCAAAAATTATCAAAATCTGACAGCTAAAAAAGGGTCAAGACAAAGATTTAGTTTGTTATTGGAAAAAGTAGGCATTTAGGCAGTGTGCCTAAGGACTAGGGAGTTTGTTTTAAAGCCCTGGAGGGTTTTGGGTGTTTAGGAAAAGTCAGAAAAGGAATTGAGTCTTTGGAACAAAATCAAATATTTAAACCTCAATATTTTTAGAACCCGATGTTGTAAACCTTTTGATATTTCAAACTCAGATTATTTGATCTAGCAGAGTTCATAGTTTGAAATATCTAGAGTCTGCAAGATTTGGTTCCAAAGATATAGTGATTAGAAAATCAGCGTTTGTGGCAAAGACTCAATTCCTTTCAGAAAATTTCAACAGCCTCAGACCAATACTTTTTGGTTATATAAAAAAAAACAGCAGGAATAGGGCTAAAAACTGACCTTATTTTGAAATCTACTTGTTCTCCTGGTTTTAAACATCTCCATCCAGCTCCTGCTATCACGGACTGATGAACAAATATATCTGTTGAAGAATTTAAATCTTGTGAAGTGTTCAGCACTAGTGGGTTTATATTTGATATTTTGCGATTTTGACTAGCTTGAGTTAACTGACTGGGGTCACTTGACTGATAAGGTTTATCATCTTGACTTTCTTGATTTGTTTGACTAGGTTTGCTTGACTGAATAGCTTCCTTGTCTTGACTAGCTTGACTAGATTTACTTCGAATTTTCATTTTTTTTCTGACAAATTTTGTTTCATTTTTTTTCCTTCCACATAGTTCATAATTTTCTTCTTTCTTCTTCTCTCCTGCATTTTCAGAAGAATCTGAAAACAAACATAAATCTTAGCTTTTCTTTCACAAAATTATTGAGAAACTTTTGATAAATGATAAAAGAATATTCTAAAATAAACTGACCTGAGATGTTTAGGAATCCCCAACCTTTGTTAAAATTAAACCATTTACAGTATCCAGCAATCCAATCCTCATTTTCTTCTCCAGCAATCTTCTCTTCCCTCTCAACATTTTCATCTTCTTTACTCTTCTCAACATTTTCATCCTCTTTACTCTTCTCAACATTTTCATCTTCTTTACTTCTCAACATTTTCATCCTCTTTACTCTTCTCAACATTTTCATCTTCTTTACCCTTCTCAACATTTTCATCTTCTTTACTCTTCTCAACATTTTCGTCTTCTTTACTCTTCTCAACATTTTCGTCTTCTTTATTCTCATTTTCATCTTTTTCTTCTCCAACATTTCTTAAATCTTTTTCTAAATTCTTCGCTACACCTTCCATTTTCTTTTTTCACTTTTTAAAATTAAGTTTTTCATATTTCACCAATCATATTGAAACAAATTTACATGTAGATAATTTTCTGTCACGTCAAAAGAATTTGAAAATTTTGTTTGTAAACCATGATGGGTACTGGAGTGGGTGATGGGAGGGGTTTACAAACAGACTGAGAATTGAACATGGAATTATATTTATTTCGGATGAACGCGCGGGGGCGGATACAATTACCCCCTCCCCCCTCTATATTCAACAAGCAGCTGCACTAATTGCCCCTGTAACGTACAGAAGAGCTTTATCAATTATCTAATAATTACCTATTAATTATCTATTTCTACATTTTCGTACATTTTCAATGATAATAATTTCTTTACTTATACTGAACAAAATCCATAATGTGACATTTTTAGATTTGCATAAACAAATTTTTGAAATATATAAAATCATAATAACGGGGATTAAATAATTTTGCAGAGTGAAAAAAAGAATTATGTTTATAATCACTTTTCCACTTTATTGAGATACTTTGCACCTACGCGCCTTAAAGCTTGGAGGAGTTTAGGGAGGGTGCCCCCCCTCCCCACCCTTACTAGGTTCTCCCCTACTATGTAAGATAATATTTGCTTACTGATAACATTACTGATTACATTTGATTAGCCAACATTACGTAAATATATCCCGGACCTTCCTGTGAGTTCCGGTAAAAAAAGATAAATAAAATTCATTTCTTGTCACTTGTATAAAGAATCGCAATTGAAAATATCAAATATTTAGATGAGGGATATCTCATTTGACCTTAGCGTGACTCCATAGGTGTTAAAAGAATAACATTGTGACTCGGCAATGTATTTTAATTTTAGTTTAATTCTATCATGAATCATGAAGTTTCTTCACTATGTATATTGTATATGAAGATATCTGTCAACCTATTTTTTGGTTTCTTTTATGAAATTCGTTAATTTCCGCCTCAGACCAATACAATTGACTTGCAATTTATATATGCAGTATTGAGTCTACGTCACAAAATTGGTTTTCTGAATCCTAATATCTTTGAATGCAATCGGCTATTTTGCTATACTTGTTCAACTCTAGTTTCTTAGATTAGATTGGGGTTCCCAAGGTCTTTAATATGATCTGTTCATATTTTTTAATACTTGATACATATAATGAATATCATATATATGTATCCTCGTTTAAAGAAATATTCAGCTTATTCTTGATCTCTTATCTTGATCAGAATAACATGTAGTAATAATATTTCTTGATCAAGAACAATCTTTTACATTATTGAGCCTAAAACTTTTTGTATTTCTGACTGTCAAGATTGACGCTATGTCTCCGCCTCCTGTTCTCTTCGCCATTTATGTGCTCCATTACATTGCACAACGTTTGAATCTAATCATTATTTTTCTGAACCAGGGGAGCTCGTGTGAAGACAGCCTGAGCTATCTTGTAGCTCCCCGGCCACAAAATATATATATAATTGTCTAGTTATTTTTATTAATATGAATGTTGTAAAGTTGTGGCCCAATAAATGATTTGATTTGATTTGATTTGATAATCTGGTGGTGTAAACTTTTGTAATTTTAAACTTAGATTATTTGATCTGACAGAATTTAATGTTTGACATAAAGGTCTACAACATTGTGGTGCAAAAATATATGGATCAGAAAATCAGAGTTTGGGACAAAGACCTAATTACTTTTAGCAAAACACACAAGGAAATCTATGTTATTGTCTTTGTTTATAATTCCAAGTAAGGCTGGGAGTCTTTTTGGAGAAAAGTTTTTTTGGAGAAGTAAGGAAAGTGGGATAAACTGGAGAAATTTCGGAAAAAGAAACAGAAGAAGGATGATATTATTGAACCTTCTACAGATGAAAATGTAAGTGTGTTGTTCAGTGGCAGAAAGTATCTACAGATGTATATATATCAATATTGATAAGAATTAAATATTTTTAAATATATTCTAAAAGAATTGTCTCTTAAAGGGATTGTAAGCGTAATTTTAAACAATTGCCTCACATACCAATATTGTTTTATCTGAAACCCGTCCTGTCTCTTCATTAAACCCTGATAACAATATTGTTTTATCTGAAACCCGTCCTGTCTCTTCATTAAACCCTGATAACAATATTGTTTTATCTGAAACCCGTCCTGTCTCTTCAACAAGCAGCTGCACTAATTGCCCCTGTAACGTACAGAAGAGCTTTATCAATTATCTAATAATTACCTATTAATTATCTATTTCTACATTTTCGTNTAATGGTTTATCTGCAACCCTTCCTGTCTCTTCATACAACCCTGATAACAATATTTGATTATCTGCAACCAGTCCTGTCTCTTCATACAAACCTTATAACAATATTGGTTTATCTCCAACCCTTCCTAGCTCTTCATAAAACCCTGATTACAATATTGCATGGTTTATCTCCAACCCTTCCTGTCTCTTCATACAACCCTGATACAGGGTGTTCCACGAAACATGACAGATGGTTAATAGTTTAGAATGTCTTCTTCCATAATTTGTAATAAAAATATTATACAGGAGTCATGTTATAGTAAAACTAACTTAAAAGTAAAATATGTAATTGAGCAAAAGATTTTTTTAAGCGAAATAAACTGCAAACAGCCTTTAATATCTAATACAGTGTATGGATCGACGACATTCATATACATATTAATCAACTGTCATGTCTCGTGGGACACCCGTATGCCCTGAAAACCTTTAATTAACTTTAATAAGATATTGTAATTTATTTAGGTTTAAAATTAAGTGTTTCATTTGATAATGCCTATGTAAGATGCGTAATATATGCATTAGAAATACGCAATATAGTCACTTTTCTAGATAAACCAAATTGAAACAAATCAGTTTTTAAATTATATTTTTAACCCCCCCACCCCCCCACCACCTCTCTTACCCCCTCTCTTCCTAGTTATCCTTCTTTTATAATATTTTTCAGAATTGCAATTGATGTTACAATCGAATTTTGTCAAAATATGCAAAAAGAAAAATTAAGTGAAAATGCAAAACAAATTTTGAATCTGAAACACGAACCCATTGACCATATCGTATTGCATAATGTGGTAACACCAATAACATTTTTTTAAACTCTAAGGTTTTTGAAATTTAAAAAAAAACACCAGAAAAATTTTTAAAAGCTCTAACATTTCTTTTTTTTTGATAAAAGTTTGCTTCTAGAAATAATAAAATTTTGTCCTATGTGAGAAAATATAAGGCGAAACTAACCAAATAACGATAGTTTTAAAAAGGATGAAACTGTAAAGACGACCCGAAACCCTTAAATATGACAATCGCAGGGTTATCTAATGTTTTGGCAAGGAAAAACGAAATCTCATCCATCCTTTGTGGGTACGTAACCTCAATGTGTGTAACTGCATGAAAACTGTGAATGTGCAGATACATTTAGTAAAAATACAAGGTTGCCCACAAATTATGACACTTCAAAGACGACTGTATGGAATTTATACTATCTTTTTCCTTATATTTATGATTCTCTGCAACTGCAGAAACTTGTTTCTTTATTTCATGAGTTTCAGATCGTCTTGTGGCATCCTTTGTGGTTGAAGCCAGTAAGTAACCCTAAAATTTACAAAATTTCCGTGGCAAACTTGTACTATGTTCACTATGTGCATGAATATCTTCTTATTTTGTGTCAAGAGATTATAAGTACTAAATCGTAGCAAGGGAAGCAAGGGCGGTTTCAGGATTCAATCCCCCCTCCCTCCCCACCCCACCCTTGAATACTACAATTTACACTTCCGTGCTGTTTTGCAATTAAGAAAAGTGCAATTTGCAACCAACAAAGGCATATGATTCCAATTCCCTCATTTCCCCCATGATATGTTGTCAAAAAATAGTGAAACTTGCCCTCCCTTTAAGCAATACCTTTTTTGGAAAATTTATTTAGAATTTAGATTATTTGTCCTTGTAAAATTTTTGATTATCTTAATATTATAAAAATTTCAAAAAAAGGTATCGGTTAAATTCAAAGATTATAAAATATCGAATAAAATTACTTTCAGAATCTATTCTCTAAATGTTTTCCTTTTAATTGCGTAAAAAATGTTTCAAGTTTTATAAACACCTTTACTAGTCATAATTATATTCACTTTTTATAATGATTTATACTTCTGATCTTTGATAAACTTTTATGCCACATGTTGAAAAAATTTAAAAAATTCTATATTGTACATGCATGTAAACTAAAAACCAAGAGTTATAAGGAAGCATCTGCTATATAACTGCATAACGGAGGCTCGTGTCTGTACAGCGGAGGCTCATGGCATCCGAGGGTTCCCTCCCTCTTAGAATTTAGGAGCCTTAGTATTGACACATACAGGGTGTCCCACGAAACATGACAGTATGCAGGACGACTTGAATGTCGTCTTGATTTTGATATAATTTGCTGCGTTTATTTGTCAACCTAATTTTAGAAGTGAATTTCTAGAGATAATAATCACAAAATTTCCCTTGTCCTGCCATTTCCAAAATGTGGTCTGCCTTTTTTGTGCTTTCATTATTGCCCGAGATATGAAGAATTTCGTTCAGATTTCGACAATTTTGCTTTTATTTAACAAAATTGAAATCTGAACCAAACTCTTTATATCTCC